ATAGGTCTTATAGAGATTCTATTTTGAATATAACATGTTGTATTTACTGCTTCTGCCCATAAGTGCTTAGCCATCTGAGTTTCTTGGATCATGATGCGAGTCATTTCTTGCATGTCCTATTTTTCCTCTCTACAATCCCATTTTGTTGTGGAGTTCTAGGGCAGGAGAAATCATATATTATGCCATTAGAATAAAAAAAATTCAAAATATTTGTTTTCAAATTCTCCACCATGATCGCTTCTAACTCTGACTATTTTGGAATTCTTTTCATTTTTCAATTAGGAGCAGAAAGAAGCAAACACGAAATGTGACTCGTCCTTGTGTTTCAAGAATTTTACCCATGTCCATCTGCTGTAATCATTAATGATGACAAGTCCGTATTTCTTTCCATTGATAGAAGCAATTTTCACTAGTCCAAACAAGTAAATATGAAGAAGTTCTAATGGCTTAGAGGTAGAAACAATCTTTTTAGCTTTAAAAGAGATTTTTGAAAATTTGTCTTTCTGACATGCTTCATAAAAAGCATATGAAGAATACTTCAGATTGGGAAAGCCTATGATTAATCCAAGCTTATTTAGTTGAGATATTTTTCTCAAGATAACATGGCCCAGACGTCTGTGCCAGACCCACTGCTCTTCTTGAACAGTCAAAAGGCATTTTACATTCTGATTTTTCAAATCTGATAATCTAATTTTGTAAATATTGTTCTTCCTCTTACCATTGAACATAGCTGAGCTATCTTTCTGACTAATAGCTTTACACGATTTTGATTGAAAATGACATCATAACCATTGTCACTAAGTTGGCTAATTGACAAGAGGTTATGCATCAGATCCTCGACTAAAAGAACATTGTTAATAGAAGGAAGTTTACCATTACCAATAGTTCCAGAGCTAATGATCTTTCCCTTCTGATTTCCTCCAAAACCAACAACACCTCCAAACTTAAGTTCCAAATCTTGGAACATATTCCTTTCGCCCGTCATGTGTCACGAGCATCAATTGTCTAGGTACCATGGCTGGTGTTTCAGTGGCGCCATCAAGGACATCTGCAACATAAATTATTTGATCCTTGGGTACCCATTTTCTGGGTCCTTTCTTGTTAGCAATTCCAGAGGTTCTGACCCATTTGGAATCTTGTGCAACATGATAATCAAGTGGAATTTGTGCATGGTATTTAGGCTTAGAAGTTTCCTTCTATGTTTGTGGCTGTCCTACAACTAAATCAAAACCTTCTTGTTTTGGACATTTCAGTTTTGTGCCAGCAAGCACGAAATGTTCAGAAAGAGGTTTTGGTTTGACACTCAGAGCCTCGTCAATTATTTTTTTATGGTCCTGAATATCCCAAGCCTCTACTTCCGTTTCTGCTAACTCCATATATCATTGAAGCCATTTTTATTCTACCTATGCTTTTAGCTAGGAAGTGCTGAAAAGCTCTATCATATCTGATTACTTCATCAGTAACATATACTGGAGATAATCTCTTTTTCTAATCTAGAAACTTTACTTTTCAGGGAAATATTTGATTTTTCTAAAACAAATAATTTTTCATTTAAATCAGAAAGGTTTTGCTCATCTTTAGTAGAGTTCTCAAAAGTAACTACAAAATTATTTTTCAGAGTTTTGTGTTTACTTAGAAGAGATTGATACCTTTTCATTAGTTCTGATAAACCAATTTCAAGTTCAGAATGATATAAAGAAGAAAGCACCTCTTTGTCGTCATCAGAGTCTGACTCATCATTAAGTGTCAGTTCGTCCTCTGATAATGCTTCGCTCTTGCTGGTCTTCGCCATGAATGCTACATTGGCATATTCTTCATCAGAATCTTCTTCTTCTGACACTGAATCATCCCATGTTTCCATGAGATCCTTCTTGGCTTTGTAGGCCTTCTTAGGTTTCTTGTCTTTCTTGAGATTTGGGAATTCATTCTTATAATGTCCAGGCTCCTTGCATTCATAACAGGTAACTTCTTTTCTAGAAGCTTTCTTCTGACCAGATGTAGATTCAGATCTACTGTTTGTTCTTCTTGATCCTATGAACTTGCTCTGTATGTGTTTCCATACCTAACTCATCCTTCTAGATACCAGAGAAAGTTCATCTTCATCTGCATCTTCTTTAGATCCTTCTGATTCTTCTTCTGCTTGAAAAAGCCTTGGTATTTCTAGACTTAGACTTCAAAGCCACAAATTTAACTCTTTTCTGAGGTTCATCTTCCTCAAGCTCTATCTCACGACTTCTTAAAGAACTAATTAGTTCATCAAGACTAGTGTTGTTCAAATCCTTTGAAAACTTCAAAGCAGTTACCACTGGTCTCCATTTCTTAGGAAAACTTCTCATAATTTTCTTAACATGATTTATCATAGAATATCCTTTATTCAGAACTTTGAGTCCTCCAACAAGAGTCTGAAATCTTGAAAACATTATTTCCACAAATTCATCATCTTCCATTCCGAAGGCTTCATATTCCTAGATTAGGGCCAGTGCCTTTGTCTCCTGAACTTAAGCAATCCCTTCATGAGTCATCTGAAGTGAGTCAAAAATAGACTTTGCAGTCTATGTATCTGTGATATTCTCATACTCATTATAAGAAATATCACTTAGAATAATTGTTCTTACTTTGCAATGATTTATGTGAACCTTCTTCTGAGCGTCTGTCATAGCACTTATGGCAATCTTTAGACATTTATCATCTATTGGGTGAGTGTAGTCATCAACTTCCAAATCTCATAGATCCAAGTCATATCCCATAAAATAAATTTCAATTCTATACTTCCAATAGTCAAACTTTTCTCCATCAAACATAGGAGGTTTAGCACTATAATGATATCTATCGTTATCCCTATTATCACCAGTTACAGTAGCATTGTTACCTTTATATGCCATTGTTTTTCACATAATTTGGATCGATATTGAACACTGTTAGGTGCTTGATAAAAATTCAAACTTTTTATCAACTCCTCAGAACCAAAATCTGATACCAACTGAAGGTGTGAAAAACATAAGAAAGAGGGGGTTTGAATTGGGTTTTAAATTAAAAACTTTTCCTTTTAAAATACCCTTTAAACCGTAACAAGTTACTTCACTTAGTGACAATAATGATAAGATGCAAGAAGGAAAGAACAAGTTATGTTTATACTAGTTCACTTTAAAACTATCAAGCTAGTCTAGTCCACCCACCTAGGTGATTTCGCCTTTCTCAACAATGACTTAATCCAATAATCAAACAAATTATTACAATGCACAAGCTAACTGTAAGTGACTAACGTTAAAACCTATAAGACACACTGATCTTAGACTTCTCAAGGATTCTGACCAACTGGTCCCTTAAGGAAAAATCAAACAACTGTTTGGACAAAGTTTGTTTACAAAAGATATGCTTCTACACAAGTTGATAAGTAAACAAATTTTCAACAAAACTAGACTAGAGAAATGAAAGCGTATGAACAGTCTTTAGAAAATGTGAATTAGCGACCTTCTCTCATAGTCTTCAAGCCCTTTAGTAGCCAATAAAATATTATCATCATTGGAGGGTATTTCTGGAATTTCTAAAAAGCTGGCAGCTTGAATTACGTGGGGGACAAGATCGTACATAACGTTCGTCCTTCATGGTAGTGGAATGAAATAATTTGTTTGTACCATGTAATTTTGTACCACATAATCACATCCTCTTTTGTTCTGACGTCATAGGCTTCTAATCAAGCATGCGTTGGAAGAATGAGAATAACATTTGGGTCTTAAGAACTTCAAGTCTTCAGAGTCGTCAGAACCGCGGCTTCAGAATCTTTAGTACTTGGTCTTTAGATCCCTTTGTAGAACCTTGGGTTATCAGAACTTCAAGTATTTAGAGTCTTCAGAACTTCATCTTCAGAATCTTCATCACTTGGTCTTGAGAACCCTTTGTCTTTAGAAACATAAGTCTTTAGCATCTGGACTTCAGTCAGAACTTCTGTCTTCAGATCTTTAGAACTTGGTCTCTTGGACGAGTATCAGAGTCACTACTTTAGAGCCTTCTGAATATTTTGCTATTTTTCATTAGAACTTGTGTATCTTAGAAGCGGAACTTATTCTCTTCTAGTGTCTGGGCAGCGCCGTTTATCAGAAGTAGAACCTGTTTGTTAAATCTTAAAAATAACAAACATTAGAGTACCAAAGTTGTTTATAAAAATATACTCATTTGTTATCATCAAAACTGAGAGATAAAATTGCAGAACCAAATCTTGTTCTAACAGCTAAGGTGGGGTTCTCTCCAAGTTATGCTTGGCATAGCATCCTGAGTGTGAGATAATCGTTAAGTCTCGGCTGTAAGTGGCAGATTGGTAACAGTCAGAAGGTGAGGATCTGAAAGGATAAGTGGTTGTCGTCTTCTCTGAGTTTATATGCTTCGAGAGCGAACAATAACATGGGTGAAGATGCCCTAGTGGCATAAATCATTGAGGATGACCTAAAGGATTGGAATGGAAGTTTGTTACAAATATTTTTTCCTATTTTTGATGCACAACAGATTTGCAACATTTTAATTACTAGAAGGATGCTAGAGGACAAGTTGGTCTGGGCTCATGAGAAAGATGGAGAGTATTCATTTTAATCTGCATATCACTGTATTGGTGCTGAAAAGAGAAGTCATTTTGTTGGTTCTTCTGTGGTTAATGATAGTTTGTTGTGGAAGAAGGGGATTTGGAAATTTAGACTCCCTAATGTTGTGAGGAGTTTTCTTTAGAGGCTCATGAAAGGGATTTTCCCAGTTAGAACTAACCTGAACAAGCGAGGCATGTCTGTTGACCCTATTTACCCTCTTTGTTTCTACGAGTCTGAGTTTGAGGACCATCTGTTCTTTAGATGCTAGTTGGTGAAGTTGTTGTGGTTTGCCTCCTCCTAGGCTTATGCATCCCTGATGATATTAACCTGAGGGGTTGGCTCCTAAACTAGTTTAAAAGAAAGGATGATTGGGGCGCAGTTCTGGTTTGTGTGTCCTTATGGAAGATTTGGCATGGTAGGAATGTTATGTTGTTTAGATACAAGGCTTTTCTCCCTGTTGAAGTGGCAAATGATGATGTGGCTACGTCTGAGGAGTTTTCTGGAACTGTTACAAAGGCTTCTAGTTATTTGAGTGCTGATGATAATCGTGGTTTGGACCCCCTATTGGTGTTGTGTTCGTGGTTTTGGTGGATGTTGGATGTTGCAAAGATAATTTCACAACCTAAGGTTGTGTGGTTAAATTTATTGATGGTCACATTTGTTTCAGTGCCTGCAAGCGTCAATTTATGTCTGTTTCTCCTCTGGTTGCTGAGGCCTTAAGAGTGCGATGGGGGCCGAAGCCGGTACAACACCTCAAGCTGGAAAACGTCATCATTCATACCGACTCTCTCTGTGGCAGACTGCACCTAAGGCCATCCTGTGTTGTCTGATATTGCTTTTATTGTTGAGGATTGTATTTGCCTCATGTCCTTTTTAATTGATGTTTCAGTTAGGTTTGTTAAGCGTTTTTGTATTGAAGAAGCCCACAAGTTAGTTGGGGTCGCAAAGACTCTTGGGTCTAGAACCTGGTCTGGCTGTGTGCTTGGTGTTGTTTATGCTGTTTGAATGAAATTTTCTTCTCATAAAAAAAGATATTGGATGAGATGTCTGCCAATTTCAAAGAAGGTCATTTTTTGTAGATATTTTTTTGGACAGGTGGAAAGGAGGTTAGAAAAAAGTCCCTTATTGCTTGGAAACAAGTGTGTATTCCAAAGAGAAAATGAGGTTTAATATTATTGACTTGGAAGAGTGGAATAAAGTCATCTTAATGAAGTTTATGTGGAACATTAGTGGTAAGGCTGACATTTTATGGGTCAAGTTCATTCATACTTACTACATAAAAAAGGACCAAATGTGGAATATGAGTATTAAGCCAAGCTTTTCGTGGATTCTAAAAGCTATTTTCAAGAAGAGAGATAAAACTCAACAGATGCAAGTGTGACAACAAATGACTCAGTTGGAGAAATTCAACATGAAGACAATGTATCTGACTCTCACCAATGATACCAAAAGAGAGATTGCACTATTTTCGGGATGATTGACAACCCAACTTGCTGATTCTGTCTAAAACCAGAATATATCCATCATCTGCTATTTGGATGTAAGAAGATGAGGACAATTTGGAAGCATGTGTTGGCTTGGCTGCAGGTTGATTATGAGCCAGCGGAGTGGAAGGACAAAATCAAGTGGATAACAAGAAAAAGTAAGGGGAAAGGTTGGCAACCTAATCTTCTAAAGTTTGCAACTGCTGAAACCATTTATGAAGTGTGGAAGCATAGACATGAAAAGATCTTTGGACACAATGTAAATAACATACAGATAGAATAAAAAATCATAGATATTATAGTATATAGAGGATGGATAAATCAAAAGTTTAGAAAATATATAGCTAGGTTGATGATAAATTAGCTTAGGATATATTTCCTTTCTTTGTCTTTTTATCTCGTTGATGGCAGGATCTAATGATTGTCCCGTGTATAGCGTTTTTGAATTAATAAAATTTATCTATCATTGAGTAAAAAATTTAAATATAAAATAATTAAATTTATTTTATTTTATTTCAAAATTGTCTTTAATAGATTAACAAAAAGTATTCAATAATTTTAACAATTTAACAACTTTTATATATAAAATATTTTATCAAAATAGTGTGTAGTAGATCTTTTGAGAAACTTGCTCTTGAAATCATCACTCTTCTATGATGCTAGTGGAGTTTTCTTTTCTAATAATTTGCTATTTTATTACTTTTCTTTTTCTTTTCCTTTTGTAAAAAAAAAAAACATTGTAGGAGAATCTCAAATTGAGAAAATCTCTCTACTATGAATAAAATAAAATATAAATCAAACTATATATATACTAATAATAGGTGGATGTAAGAGTGAACCAATGGGTTAAGGTAGCTGATTGGAAGAGATTGAACATAGCATTCTATAATCCAGCTATTCAAATATACTTTACTATACGCGTCAATCAATTTGCTAGATTTACTCCTTTCATTTCTGTGGACTATATATAACCCTACATTGTCGGTCTAAATCTCAATCTTTCTCTTCAATTTCCTCTTTTTTTCCAACACACTTTCTTTCTGGTAATTACTATTTCTCATTTCATTCTTAATTTTTTGTTTCTTTCATGTAACGTTATTATGTTTTCACATTATTACAACTATTGGGTCATTTTGAAAATCGATAAAGATTGCATTTTTTGCTTCTTTTTTGTGAATTATCAAATGGGTTTGTGTTTGATTTGATATCAATATCATTGCATAGATTAAATGTTTTTTTTTTTTGACAGAGATGAGTTTGAGCAATGAGAATGAGAAGAATCAGTCTTCTTTACCAACTAGTAATGGTAATGGAATAGTTGATGTTGTTGATGCTGCTGACAATGAGAATGAGAATTCAAAGAAACCCTTCAAGATCTTTGTAGGTTATGATCCACGTGAAGACATTGCATTTCAGGTATGTCGTCATTCAATCATCAAGAGGTCTTCAATTCCTGTTGAGATCATACCAATTAAGCAGTCAGATCTGAGAAAAAACGGTCTTTATTGGCGTGAGAGAGGTCAATTTGAGAGCACTGAGTTCTCTTTTACAAGATTCTTGACACCTTATTTAGCAGATTATCAAGGTTGGGCTTTGTTTGTGGATTGTGATTTTCTCTATTTAGCTGATTTTAAGGAATTGGTTGATTTGATCGAAGATAAGTATGCTATTATGTGTGTTCAACATGATTATGCTCCAAAAGAGACAACAAAAATGGATGGTGCTGTTCAAACTGTTTACCCTAGAAAGAACTGGTCTTCCATGGTTTTGTATAACTGTGGTCATCTTAAGAACAAGGCTCTTACTCCTGATACTGTGAATTCACAGACTGGTGCTTACCTTCATAGGTTTCAATGGCTTGAAGATGATGAAATTGGTTCTATACCTTTTGTTTGGAATTTTCTTGAAGGGCATAATAGGGTTGTTGAAAATGATTCCACTACTTTACCCAAGGCCATTCATTATACTCGTGGAGGGCCGTGGTTTGAGGCGTGGAAGAATTGTGAATTTGCTGATCTATGGCTTAATGAGATGGAAGAGTACCTGAAACAGGCCAAAAAATAATCTGCATGAATCATGATGCATTTCGATGTTGTATTATTCTTGATTTCAAATTTGTTATTGTGCTAAGTCTGTGCTGATGATGCAATTACGAGAATAGAAATATGAATGTTGCTAGTTCATATCTTCTTATATAGTTAGTGTTCTTTTACAATGGCATTTTAGAGTGAGTAATGCCTTTCAGGATGTATTTGGTTTTTCATTTGTTTTTAGTGACCTCTATAGGCTTTAATAAGAGGTCGAAGTATTTGTATCGAGTATTTTAATAAAAGAAGCTTTAATGTTACAATTATGCATTGTTCTTGGTTTTTAATCATAAGATAAGACGAGCTTTAATATAGTTTTGTGCATGTTCTGCCCATAGTATGTCTCTTATGTAGAAATTTGTATGATTGATAGTGAGGTTGCAAACAAAATTGAATGGAGCGTGATTTGAAGAACAAGTGATCAAGTTGTGCCACGAGTGCGATGTTTTATTTAAAATAAGTTGATATCTAACATAATCGAGTTCAGAGCATGTCAGTTTACAATACATACCCTGTGCAACAACACTTGTGCTGAACTCCGAGGTCCACAACTGTGATAGTTAAACGATATGACAAGAAAATACAATACCTTTTGTTAAATGCCTAAACAAGATCTTTATTTTGTTTTAATCTGTTACAATTGTTAAATGATGAATCGCAGCAGAACAGAACGTAGACTAAGTCAGTAATGAGTGCTTGTTTTGAGTCGAATCAGTATTATTTTCTATACAGCTTTTTATGAATAAGAAACAAAAAATATGAGTATAAGCTGTTTGTGATGATGATACATATATCAACACTTAACAAATGGCTAAAGGCCTAACAATTGTTTCTTTTTAAATTTTGATATCAAATCTTCTTCAGATGGAATCTCAACACCTGCTTCTGAGGTTTTAGACCACCATTCCATGATTTCTTCCTGCACAAAAGGAAAGAAAAACATCATCATACCCACTTGAGAGTTTCACAAGAATTTACGGAGTCAAAATGACATGAAACTAAGAGCTTCAATCACAATAGTCCTTGATAATTGATTATTACCTCAAGAAAATCTTGATTGGATATATAGTGACTTTCTACCATAAACTCTATTCCTTTTACTTTCACTGAGAGAGATTTTTTGGTATGCTGCTCCAAACTATGTCTCCCGGTGTCTGTTATATACCAGATAATAAAAAGTTGAAGAAAAAAACATGTTATCTCAAAAAATAGATCAAGGTATGAGTCTAAATTATACCAATTATATAAGCTACATGGTATCCAGTTCCTCCAAGTCCTTCTTCCCACTTCCCAACCCGCAGTCGCAAGAAAAAACCATCGAGTTGAGATATCGATCCATGAGAAGTTATCCATCTGATACAATCATACAGAGAAATTCTGCTAAGTTGCTTATATACAAAATGTGACAGTATGTCGGTATTAGTTAATTGGCATGCATTACTTACTTCAGGATATCGGAGCGGGACAACTGAAGCTTCTTCACTGCATCAAAGATTTCCTCAGGCACATGTGAGATCTCCCTTTCAGTCAATCTTAATGGAGATGTTATAATAGCCTTGTCTTTGAATTTGTTTTCCTTTGAAGTAGATCCGCAGTTTTTCTTGCATGATGATGCATTGCATTCTATCTTGACAGTTGTATAATCATTTGATTTCTGCTTCAAACTAATATTCTGGTCTGCTTCATTATCGATTCTATCATGGACCGAGGTTTTAACTTCCGAATCATGTTTCCTTGTTAAGATTGAACTGGAGCATGAAATTGCCCAGTGGTTGAGCTGAAAACATTTGATGCAGATAAAAGGAAAATTTTCCTGACCTTCATATGAATTTACATTCTTCTGAAGATCTTCTAGCTCACTTTCTAAAACAGCTGAGCAATCACAAAGTTCGTGACCTCTTGTTCCGCAAAACATGCAAAACATATTTACTTGTGAGATACGTTCTGCTTTGATTGTCGGCGTGATATGTTTGATGCTAACCAGTCTCCTTGCAAACTTCAAAGACATTTGCTCTGAGTTTGCGAATCCTGGTGATGATGGAAGGCCGTCGAACAAGGGGGCAGTTGACTTTGGAGTAAATCGAGTTATCCATAGACTCCCTGGATTCTCTCTTCTCTGATTGATATTCTCCGCTTCCTTTCTTTTGGATGGTGCATTGGAATCGACGTTATCAGTATTGTTTGTATTTTGTCTGGCTGAAGATGAATTTGAAGCCATTTCTTCCTTGTCCTTACTAAGATCCATGTTTGAACAATTTTCATTTCCTACTTGAATTTTTTTTCTACTTTCCTTACTGTTAAAATAATTTAACGGTTCAACGTTTGGCTGCGACGGACCAGCATCATATCTACCGGTAGATGCTTCAAACTTATTTGATTGAAAATGCCGTTCGGCAAGGCTATTATTATCTGGAAAACAGGTTATTGGAGTAGCATTTATTCCTTGTACCATGTTACTTGGCTCTAAATCCTCGTTACTTTCTCCTTCTCGATGAAACATTCGTGTTCCTACATTCTTCAAAGTTGGACCGTACATGGACTGAAAAATGGATCTGAATCCTGTATTTTTCGACTCAGGATCTTGCTTTGTTCTGCATGTGATAAGTTTCTCTTCAAACCGTGCATTTCGATGATGTGCATTTGCATTTCTAAGAGCTAAAGTGTTCGAATCATTTTGAATTGTTTGTGAGAGCCCTTTCACCATGCTTGAAATCCAATTATTGAATGAGCTTTCTTGCTTAACATACGATTTGGAACCAGAAGTTTCTTCGACGTTGTTTTTCACTCTTTTACTCCCAATTATCAACTGCTGTTGCTGAAAGTTACGCCGCTTTTTACCTGTGGAAAAAAACCTAGCACTGTTACAGCTTTCAACACTTGAATTGCTGTCACTATCCATTGATAATCTTACATTAGCATCCCCGTCTGTTAAGAACTTTTCCTTGCCTTTGTTTTCCGCCACGCGAATTCCACTGTTACACGGAGAATGTGAGACCGGAACAACCTTATCGGAATGTAGCATCATTTCATTCTCCCGAGTTTCGTTTTCAATCTCCTTAACAATACCTCCACATGTTGCAGCACAAGCAGCTTCGGCGTCAACATTTCTTATATCATTTTCGGCACTAGATTCAAATTCTCCCAAGGGATTTCGACTGGATGACGCTAAGTTAGTCCGCGGATCACCAGAGCCTCGATATTCAAATATAGGCTCAACTACGGTATGTAAATCATCATCTATCCCAACTACCTTTTTTCCTTTATCGATATTATTTTCTTCCTCAACTTTAGAAACTGGCTTGACATCTGAATCACTCATTGTGTCTGCAATACCTCTATCGACACATGCGACAGCTATAGGTTCATGAATGATAGAGTTGCAATAAGTAACACTTTGCGGCGGAGAAAGAACCATACAACAGCTTGGTCCAACAACGCGAAAAAGAGAACTGTTTTTATCAGCACATTTAAGACTTAAACCTTTTTCAGGAGACCAAACTATTTCCGATAGAGGATCAGTTGTAGCTAATTTCATGTCAGCTCTGGAAGCTGCATTTGCACCTGCACATGATTCACTTTTCAAAATCTTCCAATCACATTTGTTAGCATTATTCAGAAAGAGTTCACTATCAGTCTTTGCTTTTACTTTCTTGTTTTCTTCTCCACTCATCTTCAGAAAGATAAACTCTTTACATGAATTTCCTGAAACATTATTCGGATCGAAATTACCTGTCATGTAGCACCTTAAAATGAAAATAATTCTGAGTGCAGGGTACATATAACAATATAAATGTCTGAGGCAACTAATTTCTTACTAACAGTAACATTAAGCATAGCACCAAATTACTTGTGTGAAATATGTGTTACTCAACCCAATTAACGCACGAGCAAAGAGCAAAGTTCCCCGTATGGACTAGCCCAACACAGAAATTGTTGGCACCTAGCGTGATTCGAACCTGAATTAATAAAAGAGCACACTCTAGTCTCAAGCATTCACCAACAGGTCAATCTCTGGAGGTTATTATTCTGACTTCTTTATGCAACATTCTTAATTCATCTATTTTAGATTTAGATCATTTTAGAATAAACCACTTAATTAATCGCTTTGTTGAATGAAGTTGAAAAATAATAATTTGTTGCCATGGATAATGTCAAGGACAATTCATTCATACCATAAACTCAAATTGTTAGAGAACAAACTTATGAATGGATTTCATCTCAAACATGCATGCTTCTTCATGAAAAATCTTCATGTCCATCCAAACAACAAGAATCAACTGCTGAAATTGAATTCAACTCAACAAGTGAAACTGTAACTATGCTGAAAATTCTTCATGTCCATCACAAAACACTGTACTGAGAAAACACTATTATTGATACTACTATTACCACTAATTAAACACAAGAATAAAAAAATCAACAAACCCTATTATATTAGTACAAGTAGGATATTATTATATTGAAGTTAGAATCTAATTATGTAATAGATTAAATTTGTGGATAATAATACTATGTAAACAAAGTAGAATCCATAAAGTGAGGAAAGTGTTAAGCAATGTAAAGAAGTGATATAAAGAAACATACCAATTATGTTTGTTTGATTGATTCAGAGAAGAGAAGAAGAGAGGAGAAGATAGAAGGGAAAGTGAGGAAATGAGTGAAGTTTTTCGGTTGCAAATTGCAAAGTTTGAGTGACAGATGTCATGTCATGACAGTTAATGTGAAGCTGCCTTGCCTTTTTTCTTTATTTTTTGTATTCTTTTCTGTTATATGAGGTTGAGGTGCTGCCACATGGAGACATTCTATGCCAATGACCACTTATGTAAGGTCATGATATTTACTTCAATACAAACATTTTGTAATCATTACTTGAAGTAGTATCAGGATTTTATGATTTAGCACACAAATCAATTAAATGTGTATCACAATTAATTGAATAGGCAAACACTAGGAAACATTTACTATAGGCTGATCAATAATAATGATTTGGAAGTAGTATACTCCTCATACTCATAATTAGAATATAAAGGAAATGATTGTTTTACGGAATTAAAATTTATCTTTAAGAATTAACTATTCAAAAAAATAAAGATAAGAAATTTATTTTAAGAAATTTTTTTGAATTTATTGTTTGGCATTTTGAAATTTTTAAGAAAATTTTAATTTTAATTAATTTTAAAAAAATAAGTTTATAAAATCTCATTGGGATTCACATTCTCATCCTTTTACACTGAAATAATTTCATGAAAATATGAAAAGTTATTTTTTTTTGGGATCTTTATTCCTAGGAATAATTATTTTCAAACTTGTAATACACATGGATATACTCATTTCTTATGCATGTATTTCCAGAAATCTTATGTCTAAACTTGAAACAAACACCTCCAAAATTTAGCCGTTCGTTTAGGTTCTCTACCTAAAAATGTTAGAACTTACAATCACATATTTGATGAACAATTGATGTTTAGTACTTGATTGTACCTGATCAGAAGGGATTGTCAAAGCCCACAAGTTTCAAGTCGAGCAGCAGTTGAATGTAAAGTGGGAGGTACCTGCAAGACACTTTAATGTCAAAGTGAGATTCAAAGTTAATCCAAATGAATAGGAGAATATGAATGAATGAATAGATACCTGTGAGAGGGTATTTATAGCCCCCACCGCTGGGCCAAGATCTCCATTGTTGGGCTGAGCACGCAGGTCCAAGAATGAAGACTGCCAGATCATACGTGCATAGTGGGGGTCAACACGTGGTCCCTAACCTAGATGAGTTCCTCCGAATTATCCAGAAGATATGAATACGGTATTTTCGGGGTCAAGAGGACTTCATGATATTCAGGGGTGTTGAGTGTCAGCCCTATAAAGAAAATGCTCGGAGGACTTGTCTTGGTCGACGAGAAGTGTGGACGGTGCCCGTGAGAAACTTCCGAGCATTGTTGGTTCTGCTTGCCGTTCATGGATTATTCCCGTAGGAGACAACCAAGTTGACCAGAAGAGTGTAATTGTTGCCAGACATGGTCGAAGACATACTCTTCCTACTAACCTTCTCATGTAACGTAGTTGGATTGGGCCTTGTATGATGTTTGGACCAAGTGCATGTCCAGTCCAGAACAGGAGCCCCCAAGTCGTCGTTTCTGATGGAAAATGAGTTATGACTTAAGACCACTTCTCCGTATGACGAACACTACTTAGCCGGGTTTTTTCACCACGACGAAGGACGTGGTCGTTTTAGCGTGGCCACTCGAGCAGAGATTGGAACTCGCTTCACATAGAACATTTCAGTTGTTCCTCGACTCGCGGGGAGACGGAGTTCGGAGTATGTCTATATCGTAAGCTATGTGGCATAAATTTTGTTCGCGGCTATTTGAATAGATAGTGAACTTCGCAAGATGTAGCTACTTAGTGTGACCTTTGGGATAAAGTGATGGCCTAGGGAGTAGGGGTCATTATGACCCTGAGCGCATAGGAGGTGAAGAGATGGGCAATTGGCATGTTTTCTGACGCGATGCTTCGTATTTTATGTCAGCTCTATAAATCGTGCCTTAGGGCTCATTTACAACACTCCCAACTCTCACTCTCTCCTTTCTCCCTATCGTCTTTGGTTTTCTATCGTCTTTTATCTCCTTCTTCAACCGTAAGCACCGTCGGAACCTTCGCCGTAGACTTTTCACCGACATTAATCTAGTAAGTTATTTCTAGTAATTACTGTCATTTACTGTCGGCTTTTTCAATAATCTTTGACGTGATTCACGACCTAGAGGAATTTTGTTCGGGATATTCATATGTATCCCCGTGATATTCGCGAAATGGCCCGTGAAACTTACTTGTTCCTCGCAGAACTCATTAAAATGCTCGGGGAATTTATCTTATCCCAGCAAAACTCGTTAAACTTCTCGGGGAATTCATCTTATCCTCGTCACCTTCACGAGGTTTCTCGTGGGGTGTATACTCTCCTTGCGGCGTTCCTCGAGTATATTTACTTTTTAGTGAACGATGTTTCGTCGACCTGGTTTGGTTGTAGCATCCCCCTTTCACTTGTGTTGCGGTGGAAGTGCGGATTTGATTTAGCTATTGAATTCACTGGTTTCCTTTTCTTTACAGGTGAAATGGCCGAACCTAACGAGTCAACCAAGCAGATCGAGGTGGAAGAAATAAGTCAGGCCAACGAGGGTATCCAGCTGATCGACACGATCGACGATCCGTCATTGTCCTGGGTCGGGCCAGAACCCCGAGGGATAGCCTCGGTCTATAGTTATTCTAGAAGGGAAGCGTACACCGTTGTCGAGTATGGTGGCATCCGAGAGGATTTCCATCGGAACTTCACGATCCTGCAGCTGACGCGTATGGACAGGATATGCTTGTCTTTTGAAGAAGACTGTTTCCCCATGTACGAGGTCGTCTTCAGGGATTTGGGGCTTCTTCTGCCCTTTAGTAATTTTCATATGGGTGTGTTCAATCATTTGAACTTGGCGCCTTCCCAATTGTATCCCAACATGATCGCGTTCATACGAGCTTTCGAAATCACTTACCAGTATTTGAGGATTGGGGCGACGATTCCCTTGTTTTTCAGGGTTTTTCATCTCCAAAGGCAGTCCAGGGGAGGTAAACATAGTTGGGTTTCTTTCAAACACTCGAAGAGGCTGTTCCGGATGTACATGGATTATGTCCGTGAATTTAAAGATAAATGGTATGTCGTGCAGCCTTCGTCTCAAGATGCCGTGGATGCGGTGTTCGACCCGGTTTTTCTTGTGGATGAGAACAGGGAAGTGTGCTATGAAGAGAATGGGAACAAAGAGATTGGGAGGCTCTCGAAATTCCCCATTCATTGGTGCCAAGGCCACTACGGGCACGGACCTGGCCATTACTATACCCCCGCTGACAACATAAGTGCCGAGGATGAAGGAGCTTACAGGGTCCTCAACAGGTTCGTCGATGGTTTCTTTGCCCGATCAACACTAAGGCGCTAGTTGAGTGACGTACCTACGGGCAATCTGTGACTCTTCTAGGTTTCTATTCGTGCGACTCTATTGTATTCTGTTTTTTAACTTATTTTGGGTATGTATTTCTAACGAGGCTGACTCGAGCGTGTTGTTTTTTTATCTTTGCAGGTAACATGGTCGAACTTCGCGAACATCTTCTGAAGTTGACCCGGGAGAAAAAGAACCACAAAAGGTTAGTAAAGCCTAAAAAGCCCACACACCTTGGTCTAATTACTGAGTCGGCCAAGAACGTGTCAAGCGGCTCGTTGGATCCTCCCGACATCGTGTCGAGCGTGGCTTCGACAGGAAAGAAGAGAAGTCGCCCTGAAGGCGGGAATGCGGATTCAATTGACGAGAGTTCAGCTGCTCGAGCCTTCACCCTTCCTCCTTTCTTCATCGAGAAGGATTTCTTAGAGGGTTTTCCCTTGGCTGTGTCTGATGGTGAATCTGATGTTATTAGACGCCTTGATGAGGAAGGCAGGAGGCGACATCTGGCCTTGGGCATGGCAGGTCTGATGAAGGTTGTGGAGATGGTTGTCGTCCTCGCTGTGAGGATGCCAGTTCCTCTACATTGGAAAACAATTTGGAGTTGGAGAAGGCGACTCTCCAGGAAAAGGTGCAGAAGATGAAATCCGCCCTCGAGCGAAGCAAGGAAAAGTTCTAGGGGCAGGCTGACAAGTTGGCAAGGGAGAAA